TGGAGACACCTTTCAAGGCCACTTAGTGGGTGTGGCTAGGCTAGGCTCTAGGTTGTAACTGTTGTAAAGCTACAGGTTCAAATCCCCTACATGGTGGAAAGGTCATTTCTCATCCTGGGGGGTATAAATCCAGGCACCAGCGGAGGAAGCACGTGCTAAGGGGCAACATTCTGTCCAGTCTTGGGGCAGCACTGTCCAGGTGTTTTTGGTTTTTTTGTTTTGCTTGGGGCGGCAAAAATGGTAGAGCCGGCCCTGTATAAATCAAAATCCTAGGGGCTTCCTGGCAAGGTAATTAATGCAGCATTGGTCAAAATACCTTTTGCAAAACCGGCTTTCCCACCAAAGGGCCTGTTTTCATGGGAAATTTTCACCTGGGTCCCGGTTTTTCAGCAACAAAAGTGCAAACTGAAAACAGACATTTGTCAGTAAAATTTTTAGCTTTTCAACAATGGAGCAGTTTTACCAGAAACCAATTATTTCAATCCATTCTCCCTCAGCTTTTGGCTCCATTTTTTGTCTAAACACAAATGTTTCATAGAAAATATTTACAAATCAGTTACTTGCTGGCAGCCACTGGTTAGCATTTTCCACACCTGCTCTAGTTAAAAGCAAAGCCCTGTACGGGTTATGCCAAGGGTTTCTGCGGTGCTTTTTATATAAGGAATCTTTGGCCTAAATTCATTCCCACCCGTGCCCGTTAGTTGCTGTTTGTAACCCCCTATACGGTCATTAGTGGAGTCAACCATTCGTCTTTCAAAACCCAGACCCCGGTTCGGGAAGGGGACTTACGCACATGCTTAAAGTTAAGCATGTGATTTAGTGCTTTGCTGAATCGGGCACTAAAAGCACATATCTCTGCTGCTTTAACTCAGTGACCAGCTCCACAACTGCTCTCAGGAGTAACTTGTTTTCCTCTATATGGACCAGTCTCTTACCCTTAGCCAGTGTGTTAAACTCCTCCCCCTATTTTGAAGGGAAATATTTAAAATAAATGTTTTTATAAAGAAGGTTTCACTCATTTTTTTTTAAAATTCAATATCTGTGAAATAATATTTATCGTGCATGTCACTGTCTGAGCACTTTGCAAATATTAGCTAATTGGCACTTTTGGGAGGTAGCAAAGTAGCACTATCACTTTTTCATATATGGGGAAACTGAGGCACAAGGAGGGGCCTGTGAGTTGCCCAACGTCATAGACATCATTGGCAGAGCCCAGAATAAGGAGCTTCTCTCTCCCAGGCCCAGAGCCTCAAAGGTGCACCTAACACCCTTTGGGGATTTGGGCCCCGGTCCTTTGCTTAGACAACATCTCTCTATTCTTATCAGGGTTTGTTACCAGAGCTGGTTTACGGTTCCCCAAATTTGACTTTTCAATGGACTTTTTGGTTGACTTGCAACAACAAAAAATTGCAACAGCATTTTCACACTTTGCCTCCTACGTTTTCCTACAAGCGCTGGGGCTGGTGGCCGTTTTGGAAAGGTCAGCATTGTTTATTACATTTTTTGGCTGACATATGGTGTTTCGACAGGAAAAAATGATACACTCCCCAAAAAATACCTTTTTGCCATTTTTTTCTTTTTCATTTTCCCTCCAGCTCGGTTTGCAATCCGTTTGTCTGAAAAACCAACACCTAGAATCGGGGCCTTATGCTAGCAAACTGCTTCCTGTTAATGTTCAAGGGCATTTCCTGGTTTATTCCGACCTTTTGAACTTGGACACAGCCACGTGCGGCAAACTTTGTGCACAGATCCTGTAATTCAAATACGAAGAATTTCATATTTGCCTGGAGGCCCCAAACTTGGCAGAAATAGAATCCTTATGATTTAGGGCCAGGATCCTCTCACAGAGGGGCATCGGCAAGCAGAAACGTCTCTTTTGGGCAGATTATCCCATATCTGCCTGCTGTAGGTTTCATACACATTCCTCTGGTGCTGGCCCCTGGCTGAGACCAGCTCCTGGGCTGGACAGTCATCTCCAATACAGCAGTCCCTTTGTTCCAAACCCTGAATAAGGGCCTGGGAAATAGTCATGAGGAAGTTTGACAACTTTGCAAGGTTTCTCGTGGCTTGTTCTAATTTGGGGGAAATGGTCCGATCTGGTGACAAACACATTGCACTTCGAGAGCTGTTTTTTGTCCTTGTAAATTTTGAGGAAGAAAGGGCCGACTTTCCCCCCAAACAGGGGCCGGTTTCCTTGCAAGAGAGCCTCCAAAGTTTTGAAATTCCAAAATGTCATGACACAATTAGGCTTTGTGAGCATTTGAAATGTCACAAGTTTGGATGTAAAAAAAACAAACGAACCAACCCCCCAAAAACGCTATCAACAAACCGTCCATACTTTGGAGATGATTTTGCAGAAAGTAATATACTGGGGGAGGAAAGCCACTAGCGGACCTAGAACAAAATGGCAAATATTTTTCCTAAAACTCCTGGGTGGAGGGACAGGATAATTCCTATTTTTACCTGGCTCAAATCCTGATCCTGAGCTGGCACGCTGCTTATTCCTTACTGCACAGAGAGTTCCTTCCAAAGTCACTAGCGTCCCCTCCAGAAATGTTCAGACGTCTGCTTTAACCAGTCAATGAATCACCATCAAATCTGATCTCAGCACATCCAACCATTCAGGAAATAACCCTGTAACCCTACTGCCCCCTCTCTCTCTCTCTCACACACACACACAGTTCTAACAGTCTTGAACACCAGAGATAAATCCTGGAAATGTATCGTAACGTGTACAATTTGAAAAAGAAAAAATAAGTACTGTCTGTAAAACTTTAATGAACAACGTGGTTTCTGATGGTTAATAAAAGTGATGTCATGATGCCCACCTGCCTTTTCTTCCTTGCCGTCAAAGTGCGCGGAGCAAGCGGTCGCTGTGAACCAGCCCCACAGTTTGAACGTCAGAAGGCCAGCAGCATTGCCCACTTGGACTATTTTTAAGGGGGGGAAATTGAAGCAACGTTCCCAATGTCCCCTCCCCCCGTGTTAAACCAGCTCAGCAAAATATCAACTTTCTACAAATCAAATCTGAGAAATGCTGTCAACCTGCCACACTGGAGCAACCCAGTGCTCTCGCGCAACCCTACACTAACAACCCAGTGTGTGCAGCCGGCGTTTGTGGGTGAGCGGACGATAACCAACCCGGGGGGGCAGATGAGATGTGGGGCCGGGGTAGGGGGTGTGTATAAGAGAGGGAGTCTTTAAGGCCCTGTTGTGGCAGAAAGACCGGCCTAGGGAAATAAAGCGCATAACACACGGTCCCTCACATCCACACAGTGACACACACACACACACACACACACACACACACACACACACACGGGCTCTCTCACAACACTTTCATCCAACCATAGAAGGTGCTGCTGCCTCTCCGCCTGCCCCAGCCCAAAAGCTGGGAATGGGCGACTGATCACTCGCTAATTGCCCTGTTCTGTTCATTTCCTCTGGGGCACCTGGCATTGGCCACTGTCGGCAGACAGGACACTGGGATAGATGGACCTTTGGTCTGACCCAGTACGGCCGTTCTTATGTTCTCGTCAGTCCTCTCTCCAGTCCAGCCCCGCCCTCAGGGCAGCCGGAGCACTGGGACCCGGCACAGGGCACATGCCCATTGGATCTGCCCCACTCTGCCCACCAGGGGCAGGGAATCACTGAGCCCTAAGTGACTGGACCAAGGCCACAGAGGGAGGCAGTGGCAGAATGGGTTAGCTCCTGGCTCAGATTGCTGGGCCGTGCTGAAAGCGCCATAAAGTCTGACCATGCTGCCATCCACACACAGTTACACACACACACACAATCACCTTCTCGTCCACACTGTTACACAATCTTCCCCTACACACACACACACACACAAAACCACGTATACAAGCACACACAATTATACATCCTTCTCCTGCATAAACACACATTACAAAACCTCCTACACACACATTTATCTTCTCCTCCAAACATACACAATTTCACAACTCTCGCTCCACCCACACAAAAAACCTTCCGACTCCCTCAGGACACAGATACACAACCCCACGCTACACACAACCACCACCTATTCCCCCCACCACATAGCTACACAACCCCCCATTACACACAGCCACCATCTGTTCCCCCGACACACAGCTACACAACCTCCCATTAGACACAGCCACCATCTGTTCCCCCGACACACAGCTACACAACCCCCTGCCACATACAACCATCATCTACTCCCTGGCACACAGCTACACAACCCTCACCACACACAACCAACCCCTACTCCCCCAACACACAGCTACACAACCCTCACCACACACAACTACCACCTACTCGCTGACCACAGCTATACTATCACCTGCCACACACAACCACTGCCTACTCCCCGCCACACAGCTACACACACCCCTGACACACAAGAAACCACCACCTACTCCCCTGACACAGCTACACAACCACCACCTACAACCCTAAGTACTACTACACACACCTCTGTCACACACAACCACCATCTAATACCCCGACACAAAACTACACAACCCCCCACCACACACAACCACCACCTACTTCCCTGGCACACTGCTACACAACCCCCTGCCACACACACAACCACCTCCTCCCCCAGCACACAGCTACACAACCCCCTGCCACACACACAACCAC